ATCACTCACTCTGCTTAAAGAGGCTGTAAGTACACGACATCCCAGGACTCAAACTAAGCCGATCGTGTGCTTGTCTCAGGATGACTGCACACTTGATTTTGTGTTGTCTGTGTGTTGATCTCTCCCACTCTCTGTCCACGCTTATGTCCGATGAATTGAGCTTCTAATGCTTGGATAGTTCACTACCAGTTTCGCTATTCTTGAAACCCCGATTTTCCAAACGCTAGAAGAATGCTTGGTCTCTTGTCACATTTTATATTAGAAACTGAACAACAAACACGGAATGAGCTCATCTCGCTCACAGTCTTGCCACCCTGAAACCCCGATCAAACGGCTGAAAGTCTCTCAACTGGCGCGATATTCTCTGTGGTAAACAGGGGCATGTTAAAATCAACGTCATCGGATCACTTCAGTTTCTCCATGATGAAAATGGCTTCTCGATTCCACTCGGTGAACCCAAACTATGCTGTGAGCATTTCCCAATATCCGCTGAATTTTACTCGCTTGGGTGAAGTGATTCTCATTTAATGGAGAAAAACCTCGCCAACGTCAGCAACTTACCTCACACATAGGCCCAGCAAACCCGACTGGACAGTTGCATCGTGTTGTCATTCCATGAGAGACGCACTGACCGCCATTTTGACAGACGGGGTGTCGGTTGTAGGTACATGGGTCGATCATGTGTTCACAATGCCTTCCATAAAATCCTGAGGGGCAACGACAGTAATAAGATCCGTAGGTGTTGACACACTGAGCGCCGTTCAAGCATAATCCAGGTTCCTTGGATGGAGCACATTCATCCACATCTAGTTCACAATGTTCACCTAAGTACAGGTAACAAAAACGGAAAATGGTGTTTTGGATGTGGAGGTTTTTGCAGTAAGAGCGTTGAAATGAATTCAACGTAAGGGGTTTAAAAAAGTACCAATTCGCAGGGTTAAAAAAACAGTGAGGATTTTTTCCCATTCGAGCCTTCATTGCAGGCAAGGGACAGTCTGCCGATAACAAGTGCAATTGGCATTCATATTAAGCCATCTCCGACAGGATCCAGGACAGAGTTTATGTCATTAATTCTTCATATCATCTGTAATATCAATATATTTTCGCCACAGTAGCACACGTGTCACTTGACCGTCATCATTGTCAGCTGTAATAACCGCGTACTCGTCGTACAGTGGTTGTAGCTGCCGCAGTTTCATTCACTGATGGGTTGGGGGGAGGGGTAGGTAGCTGCGCGTTGCAGGCGGGAGCTGATAAATTGGTGCACAAATCCAGCACTGTCAGTGGGCTGTCAAGTGGGGTGGGGGGTGGAAAAGGAGCTATGCATTAAAGGCAATAGCTTGGATGCACGAGCGCCATTGAGGGCGCAACTGGGCCATATCTGACAATGTCTCTAGCCGTTGATGTGCCCGTCTCGGGGTCCCCATCCAGGAAGACGACAGTGACTAGCACAGCTAAGTTTGCTGGTAATGACTTTCACACTTCGCTGCCAAGTCATTGTTTGACCGCCTCGGGCTCTCTTCCACCCTTCACGTGGTTGTGCAAAAATAGCTCTTCAAGGAAGTCGGTCGACTGGCATACGCAACACGTTGCCAAGCCAGCACAACCT